AAGAAAGAAAGAAAGAAAGAAAGAAAGAAAGAAAGAAAGAAAGAAAGAAAGAAAATAATAAAGAAAAAGATAAGAAATATATATAGTTTGGAAGTGACTTCCAACCTTCATCACAACAAATATAAACAATTTTAGTAACTTTTCACCTCCTCTTAATTTACAACCAATGATCCCTTCATCCCATGTTCCATCTCTTATCTATAAACAAATCTATAAAGCATCAACTTTTCAGTCCTAGTGCCAGCAAAAGTCCATTAAGTGTTGCCAGAAATAACAACATATCTATTTTAAGCTTTGTCAAATAAACCAACTTTATATTCATTCCTTTTACTTCTAACAATCTTAATCTTTAGTCCATTCAAGTAATGTCATAGAACTTGATTTCTTTTCCTTTCTTTTTTGCCTCTTCTTACAAGATTCATCCAAGCTTTAACAAACCTCTTTTGTAAATCTAATATAAAAGAATTATCCAGGCTGCTCTCTTGGTTTATTATTTGTAATTCCCTTTTGATTTTTAAAGCATCAACCAGTTTCTTTTGCATGTCCAATAAGACATCTTTTCCCATGTCATTCTTGTAGCCTGTCATTTGTAGATCCTCTTTCAGTGTCAACTCTGTCTCTGTCTTGTCAGATAAAACTTGTTCCTCTTCTATAACATCTTTCAGACACAATCTATCCATAGCTATTGACAGTGTTGATATTAACTTCTGATTCCATTTTTCAGAAGTGTCCTTCAGTGTTTCCAATGTTATAATATTTTGTGACATCGTGTAGCTGTTAATCAGGTTTATGTATTCTTCTCCTTTAATTAAAATCTTTAATTCCATCTAGTGTCCAATTTTTAAAATTGCTTATCTCTATTATGTCTATTATGTCTCTATTAAAAAATTCAAAACAAATCCACTTTCCCACAGGAAGGATTCTTTACAATTAATTCCAAAATCTTATTTCAAATCTTTCTGGACCTCAATCTATTTATAACTTTCTAAAATCAAAGTCCTAATTAGCCTTTTGCTGTTTATTTCAATTTTTTAAAGTTCTTAAGCTTGTTAGTTAAAATTTTCTTTCCTTAAGGATTGAAGGCAGACACACCTGGTGTTTTCAGACTTCTGGATCCAAATGTCTCTAATAGCTGAAAAGTAGTTAACAATTTCCGAATGTTATTAGAAAAGGAAATATGAGAATTTAGGGTCCTTTTAAAGGCACAGACCACAGTTTGAGCAAGATGGCTATTCCCTCTTCTCCTAGTGCTCAAAACCTGCTGGAGACATCTTGTGGCATCCTCACTAGGAGCAACCGTCTGGAGCACCTGTGGGTGATCTCCCATCCTCTCCTTATCTGTAGAGGGTTGAAGAGCGGTCTACTCACTGGCTCTCTGTTCTTCCCCATGGTCATCAGCTCCACTTTTAGTGGAGCTGTCTTCAATCCACCATTTCTTCCTTCAGAAGTCCTGATAGTAAAGCTCTTCTTTATTCAAGAATCTTTTGTCAAAGGGCATGTTTTGTAAACCTTTGTTCAGTTTCCTCCTCTTCTGTCTCTCTCTCACTTTGGTGTTGCCATTCTTTTTTTCCAACTGGAAAGACTCTGAATACAATACTTCTTTCTTTTATAAGACAGTATCTTGAAATGAAACCCACACCTAAATTAATAGGTACAGAGGTTTCTGAATCCCTTGTGGTTGTTAATTATCATTCAGAGTAGTCATTAGGTGACTTTGAAGTTTGCTCTTATATATAAAATGCAGAAGTGTGGAAGACGAATCAGAGGTTGCCCAAAAACTTCCATTGGTTTAAGAGAAATCTGTAATCAAATATAATAATATTTTTTGGAAGAGGTATTAGTCACCATCTAAAAACTAAATTCTTCACAATACACTCAAGTTATCAGGTATGTCATCTGAAGAAGGTGTTAGTGGGATTCAGATTACTCCCTTTGTAATTTAGACCATAGATAATTATGTTTCTAATGCATCTAGTATGGCTAGTGCCAACCTTAATACCTGTAATGGTGTCTGACATGGCGTACAATTGTTGTATGCTATACATTACAGCAGTGCTATGCTTCAGATTTGATTGCATAGGAATATGAATGCAGCAGCTCTTGGCAACTTATTAAAACAGCGGTGTCTCTTTTCAGGCAACATATGCCATTACTTTAATGAATTACTGTCAGATTCTGCACTTCTGTTCTCAAGCTGTTCAAAGCAGTTCTTGGAACTGAACCCAAAGCATTGCACAGCCATACTATATATGCCAAAATGTAGACTCTTTTACCTCTGTGTTACAGAACTGCCTTTATGTTGAATGAACTAAGAAGATTATTAGAATTGTTTTCAGTCAAAGAACATGCCAAAAGATCTTAAAATGCACTTCCTTGTGACAACTTAAACTTGAATATATCAAAAGATTGTGCTAAAATATTACTATATTTCATTACACTTGAGCAGTGGAATCCTAACAACAGTATGTTGGGTTCCATTCTTTGATCTAATTTACTTAGATCCCATTATGGGTCATAACCAGGGCAATGTCAACGTGATACCGGAAGTTAAGCCCCCCAGGTTGGAAGGTATCTGATAAACTACTGCGGAAGTGCAGAGGGCACATATGAATAACATTGGTGCTTGTCATGTGGAGGATTAACCTGAAAGGATGTCCAACTGCTGATGTGGCCAAAGGCAAAAGGAAAGTTCAATGCTGCAAAGGCCCCAAACTTCTATGGGGCCAGGCAACATCTAGCTGATACAATTCCTGCACCTCAAAAAAATAAACAGAGGGAGAGAGAGAAAAATAAATTATAATTGATAAAGTTAGAAACAAAATAGCATCTGGAATAATGAGAAGTTTTGGCTTCAGTGTATAAAACAAAGCAGGAGAAAGACTAATAGAATTCTGCCAAGAAAATTTAAATATTTATTGCAAGTCCCTTATTTGAATACATGGACAAAACCAGAATCAAGTTTATATATTCATCAGGCAAAGAAGGAAAAGTTCAATAAGCAAAAACAAGACCTGCAGCTCAAATTGTGAATTTATTCTTGAAAAATTACAGCACTTTAAAAAACTCAAAAAACAAAAACCCTAAAGAAAACAAGTAAAATCAGATCAACAAGATATGACCTGAGCTGCATTCTATATGATTATAATGTGGTGAAGGTAAATAGTAGATTTAATGGATTATATTTAATAAATAGAGTGCCTGAAGAACTCTAGAGTGAAATTCATAATATCATTAAAGGTATAGCAAACAAAAATATCTCAAAGTGTAAAAGAGAAGAGAAGACAAACATATCTCCTGATACGTTGAAAATAGCTGAAGCAAAAGACATAGAGGCAGAGGAAAATTTGCCCAGCCAATTGGGGCAAAGTTGAAAGAAAGAAGAGACAAGAAATTATATCTAAATACCTTATTATTTATATCAAAATAATCATTGCAATGAAACTGAGGATAACAATCCAATAGGAAGAATAAGAGATGTATTTAAAAATCAGGGGAATCTTTTATGTAAAGATAGACACAATAAAAGACAAAAACAAAACAAAACAAAGATCTACTGGAGAAAGAAGTTATAAAGAAGAGATGAAGCAAAAATACTGAACTGTGTAAAAAATATCCTCATATTAATTATACTTTATGGGTTGATCACTGAATTGGATTGTTCCATTCTGGAAACTGAAGTGAAATGGCCCCTAGAAAGCAAGCTGCAAGGATGGATGAAATACTGATCAAACTTTTTAAAACCTTGCAAGACAATGCATTTAAAGTGCTATGGATGATTTTGAAGCAGGTATGGAGGATGTAGGGACTGAAAAATAGTTTTTATCCCAGAGCCAAAAAAGGACAATGATGAAGAACATTCAAACTACCAAGCATTTATTTATTTGTTTCTTTATTTGATTTCTCTGCTCCCCCCCCCCCCCCACAACTTGCAAAGGTGAGTCTGGGAACTAACTAAAAGCATAAAAACAAAGGAATTAATACAAAACACAGCAAAATCCCAGAACAGAAAAACAGGATAATCAAACCCAAGCATTGTATCTTATAATAATCATCATCATCATCATCATCATCATCATCATCATCATCATCATCATCATCAAAGATAGTGACAACAATAATAGGTGCTTTGGGTGCAATCCCAAATATCTGGAGTACCATTTGAAGACCATCGGCATTGACAAAATCACCATCAGTAAGACCATCGGCATTGACAAAATCACCATCAGTAAGACCATCGGCATTGACAAAATCACCATCAGTCAATTGCAAAAGGCAGCTTTACTTGGAACAGCTTATATCCTGCAATGATACCTCTAACACCATCAAACAACAACATCTGG